TAAATGATTTTCATTTCTTCTTTTTATTTTCTGTTTGTTTTTTTCCAAACAGTCAAAACCGAAACTTCAAGTTATTAAAAGTAACATTTTAATAAAATAACAAAATTTTAGGATATAAATAAATAGAATTGTTTAAGAAAATTTACATTTTTAGTTTATGAAATAAAGCATAAATATAAAAGAATATTACAATTTAGAGTTTTGTATTTTTAGTCTTAATTATTTTTACTTCTCTTTTTCTTTTTATATTTCATTTAAAAAAAAAAGAAGCTGGATTTTTTTAAAATAAAATTTTCTTCGTTGGTTTCTCATTATTTCTAAATAAAATAATCCAAAATTTTGACTATTCCCTATAATAAATGCTTTTTATAAACATTAAATAGTAACAAAAATGGTGTTAGTTTAATTTTACTACATAACTTCCACGTGACTCCACGTTTCATTACTTTTATTTGAATCATAGACTATGAAAACTAAAAAAGAAGTTTAGTCAGTTATGAGTGATACTAAAGAGACGGTTCTTACAAACAATGAAGAAAAATTAGACGTTGAACCAAAAAAAGATATTAAAGAAGAAGTAAAACCAGAAGAAGTAAAACCAGAAGAAGAACACAAAGAAGAAGTAAAACCAGAAGAAAAGAAGAATGAGTCTAATGAACAAAAAGTAAAAGTTATTATGGTAGGAGAGTCTTCTGTTGGTAAAACATGTTGTATGAATAGATATGTTAGTAATGAATTTGCTGAACAAACCAAAGCAACCATTGGAGTTGGAGTAGGAAGTAAAGAAGTTGAAGTTGAAGGAAAACAAATTAAACTTCAAATTTGGGATACAGCTGGACAAGAACGTTTTGCTACTTTAACTGGTAATTATTTTAGAAATGCTATGGCAGCTATTATTATGTTTGATGTAAGTAATAAAGAGTCATTTGAAAACATTCCTAATTGGGTTGAACAATGTTGTAAATGTGATGGTAAACATATTATTTTCATTGCTGGTAATAAAATTGATTTAGAAGATAGAGTTGTTAGTAAAGAAGAAGCTGAAGAAAAAGCCAAAGAACTTAAATTAAAATATTTTGAAGTCTCTGCTAAAACAGGTGATGGAATTGAAGATTTGTTTAATGAATTAATTAAAGAAATCATGAAGACTCCATTTTGTAATGAACAGGAAAAAGAAGGAGTTGAATTAGATGGTCAAAAGAAACAAAAGAAAGGAGGATGTTGTTAATTTAAGTTTCTTTTTTTTTAACATGATTTATTTGGTCAAAAGAATATTTGTGTTTTATAATATTTTTTATTTTCAGGGTTTTATTGAATGACTTATTAAATATTATTTACAATGAAAACGAAGAATATTATTAGCTTATTGAATGAAATAAAAATAAATTAACAAAAAAAAAATAACAAATAAAAACATTTATTTAATGGTTTTATATTTTAATTTAATTATTAAGAATAAAAAAAATTGTTGTATTAAGAAATTATATTTTTGGAGTTACTTCATTGTATTATGACTTAATGAAAAATAGTTTAATTGATGGTAGTTTTGTGTTTGTTCAAATTTTGTTATTTTGAGAAATTATTTTATTAAAATTCTTTTATATATGATTTAATACTCTCAAAATGTTTTTATAATTCTATTTAAATAATTTGTTTTTTGTTTTTGTTTAATGATTTAATAAAAAAATAATGAACAATTAAAACAATAAAACTAAAAGTAAGTTTCTTTTCAACTTAATAAGAAAATATGTGATTAAATCTTTTTTTCATTAAGAGACATATTAGATCAAAATGTTGAATGTCATTAATAATTTAGTACTAACACCTTAAAATAAAATAATTTAAATACTTTTTAATGAAGCTCTAAAAAGTTGTAATACTAGAATAAAGGAAAAAATAAAAAAGTTAGTACGTTTATAAGCGAAAAAAGTTTCCGAAACAAATAAAATAGTCATAATTTTATATGAGATTAATTATCTTACAAAATTACAATTTAATTAATCAGTGAATTAGATTCATAATATTTAATTTTCTAAAATAAAAATTTGTTGAAATTAGTTAATATTTTTCTATGAGATTTAATAAAAAAAAGGTATATTTTTAAACTCGCAATTGACTTTGTTATCATGACAAGTGTCAATTTTTGATTATTATAATAGCTGTTAACCATTTTTGTTCAAATAAAAAAAAAGAAGGATGTATTTTGGAGGTAAGACACTATATTAAAGACCTTCCATCAAAGAAAATAATTATCTATATAATAATATTAATTATAAAGAGTTATATTAGACAATCTCTTAAAATAGAGGAATTAATAAGAAAGTGGATTTGATTGGAAATAAAGTTCTTCAAAAAAAAAAAATTAATTACGCATAACTAAAAAAACATATTTTCATCTTTAATGGAGTTTGTTAAATAAGAAATTTAGATAATAAATAACTTCCTTATCTTTTAGACAACCTTATTCTCCAAGAACATTTAGTGGTTTCTTTTCAAGGTTATTTGGTTGTTTGTTTTTTTTTGAGTTTTATGTAGTTTAAAGAAATCAGAAGTATTTAAGAAAGTAGTTGTTGAACCAGAGCCAGTTTCACCAAGAAAAGAACAAACTCCAAGAGTTTCAATGTCAGAAACACCAACACATAATTCTGTTATTAGAATGAGCGTTGAAACATCTCCAACAAAAGAAGATAAAAAATTGACTCTTGTTAGGCAATCACCAACTGCCATAACAACAACACCTATAACAACAACTCCAAGAAAGGTCCCTTGTTTAAATCTTAATTCAACAAAAAAAACAGGAATTTTTGATGTTCATGTAATAAATGACTATACTTCATCTCCTCGTCAAAATAAAGAAGCCCCTTCTCAAACACTACAAATCCAGTTGAGTCAAGGACAACTCCAACATCAAGAATCTCTTCAAATAATTTCATTTAAACGTTCTGAGTCACCAATTACTAGAACACAATTATCTCCTCGTACAATAACAACAAAAAAAGAATCTGATTTGTACATGAAGCGAAAAGAACGTCAAATCAAAAGACCACGCACTATGCAATTAATTCAAACACAACCATTATCAATTGATAAAATTGTTGATGAGGGATGTCCAGCTAAATTTCTTGTTAATATAAAGAAGGTTGGTGAAGGAGCAATGGGAGAAGTTTACCGAGCAAATGAAAGAGCAACAAATAAAGAAGTTGCTATTAAAAAGATTATTGTAACACGTAAAAATATGAATAATTTAATTGGAGAAATAACTATTCATAAATCTTTAAATCATAAAAATATTGTATCATTTATTGGATCTTATCTTGATGATGGATATCTTTGGGTTGCAATGGAATATATGGATGGAGGATGTTTAACAGATTTATTAAATCAATATAGTTATGGACTTACTTTAAATGATTCACAAATTGCCTTTGTGATGAAAGAAATTATTATGGGATTAGCATATTTACATGGTAATAATATGATGCATAGAGACATTAAATCGGATAATATTTTGATCAATAAAAATGGTGATATTAAATTAGCTGATTTTGGGTTTGCTGTAAAAGGTAAAACTGCAAAAGGAATGGTTGGTTCTCCTTATTGGATGCCACCAGAAGTTATATTAGATAAAGTGTATAATAATAAAATTGATATTTATAGTGCTGGGATTGTTTTATTTGAACTCTTGGAAGGTTATCCACCTCATTATGAATTACGTGGAGAAGAACTTATGAAAGCTATTGTAAATGAAGGAATTCCTGAGCCAAAGAATAGTAAATCTTCTAAAGAATTTAAACGTGTTATGAAACAATGCACATGTTTTAATCCAACCCTTCGACCAGATTGTGTTGAATTATTAACTGATAAATTTATTACCTTAAGTTGCCACAAAAATGGATTTAAAGGTATTGTCGAAATGGTTATGGTATGAATGTTTACTTTCTTATCATGCCATTATTATCATTTTCTATATTATTTCATTTTTAATTTATTCTTTTTTGTAAAATTGTCTTTATGTGCAAGATGATTATGCAATTTTCAATCTTAATAAACATTACTTTATCTTATCTAAATTGACAAGATTGAACCGAAGGGATTATTTATTAATTGACCATCTTAACTAGAATAAAAAAGTGATGAAAAAGAATGATGGACAGTGGCAAAAAGCACAAGAAACAATCTTTGTTGACTGGATCAATGACACACTCAAACCTGATATTATTATTTCTAACTTAGAAGAAGATATGAAAACAGGAGTAAATCTTATCTTGTTAGTAGAAAAGTTAACTAATAAACATTGTTCTGAGAAAATTATTGAAGATCCAAAATTTAGGATCCAAAATATCTCAAATTGTACAGTTGCTTTAAGGTTTATTGAAAAGGTATATAAAATTAAACCTCTTTGTTCTGCTGAAAATATTGTAAATGGCAATTCTGATTTTAAATATCTTCTAGGATTATTATTTCAAATATATATGAATCATCATAAATCTAATCTACTTTCTCCACAACTTTCTCAACAACAACAGTATGAAATTATTCTTAAATGGCTTCAAGATATACTTAATCTTTATGAAATTGATTTATCTACAACTAACAAGATGATGGAAAATTTTTTCAATGGAAAAATTCTCATAGCTTTGCTTGATTTATTTTTTGATCAACGTCATTGTTTTTATGATTGGATGTTAAAAAGAGGAGAAGGAGAAAGAATTGGTTTGTCTATGAGAATGGCACATGACTTATTAGGTGTAAGTGAGTTATTAACTACTGAAGATGTGTTAGCTCATACTGTTGACTTTCGTGTGTTTTGCTTCTATTTTGAATTTTTAATGAACGCTTTTAAGAATAAGTCATCAGTTATACAAATAGATCTTGTCCAACTTGTACAACAAGCCCTTGAGCAACTAAACAAACAAATCAACCAGGAAAAAAAACAAAGCAAAGAAGAAGAGGTTTTAACAAACCAGATTAATCTACCTCCCAAACAACCTAAAAAGAAGTGTGCTTCTGTTTCATCTCAAAAAGTTGCTCCTATTCCTTCACCTTCTATCCAAACAAAAAGTGAGATTAATCAACATCCACAAGAACAAAATTCCTTTAAACCAATTGTACTAAAGGATGTTATGCAACATGGAAGAGTTAAAGAGTGTATTGATGAACCAATTTCAAAAACTTTTAATAAAAAAAATGAAGAAAATTCTCTTAAAATTACTTCGGAAAAGACAACCCATATAACAAAACCCTTACCCCCACCAAAAAAATCAAAATCAACAGAAATTACTCTAACAACTTTTGATGTTGGGAAAAGTGGATTAAGACATAGAAAACATCTTCACACGAATGAAAGAAGTCATCGTTATTCAAGAACAGAAGATCCATATTCAATAACTCATATTTATTCATCAACAAGTTATTCAACAAATGGAAGAACTACAACAACGTCAGAAATCACTGAAACAACAGAAATCCAACAAAACGAAACAATTGTTTTCAATGGATTTTGGCTTATATAGATTTTAATTCTATTTTTCTAGTTAGAATTTTTTTATAGACGAACATTTTAAGGGTTTAACTAAAAATTACTAATAGAGAAATGAGCAGTAGTAATATGATTCCTGAAGAATTAAATACAAGTGAAACCCAAGACACAGAAGAGGTGTCTTCTCTTATTGATTCTTCTGATGACTTTTCATCAAGTGAGTTAGACAGTAGTGAAAGTCAAGAAGAAACTATAGAAGAACTTAAGAAAATGAATAACTATGTCATTCAAGAATGGCAGGAGGTGTTAGAACAGTTTAATAGTTTAATGACATTATATAATAAAATAAGAGATGAACGAGATGAAATGAAAAAAAAACTTGAAGTTGCAATTCATCAAATAGAAGAAATGAAAACAGAAATATTTTCCATTATAAATGAACAACAAAAAACCACAAATGAATTAATCAAAGAAAAAGAGGCGCATGCAGAAACTATTCAAATGTTAAATACACAAACACTTAATAGAGTATTGTCATGCCGCTGTGATATTATTATTAAAAATGGACAAGTAGAAGCAATTAGTATTGTCAAAGATGATGAAATGAAAAATAAAATAAAAGAAATGGAAGAAGAGAATTTAATTCTTCAACAAAAATTAAAGAAAACTAAAGAAATACAAAGCTATTTCAATAAATCATTAAATGAAACAGAAACATCTTATGATGATATGAAAACATTAGTTCATTCTCTTGAAGACGTTTTAAGATATGAAAGTAGACTTGAAAAAATTTGTTATACTGACTTATACGAAAATGATATTCTTGCAAAACAACTTGGAAATTCTATTCAACAACGTTATGGAATAGACTTTGATCCTGTTTTTAAAATTGTAAAAGAGTTTAGAGTAAACAAAAAGAAAGTAGGAAGAGCAACAGTTGTAATGGGCAATAGTATTGAATTAGAACAACAAGAAAGAAATCAAGTTAAAAATACTATGAAAAGAATTAATTCATTCTCAAAAAGATTAAGAAAATCAGAAGTACGTTTAGATAGAAAAATAAGTTCTCTTCATAAGGTTTCATCAAATAATTCAATTATAAATGAATAAAGAATAAACAAATATAATAAAACTGAATTATTCTCCATTTTTTATTATTTTTAGTTTGAAAAGGGAAAAAAGAACTTAAAAAGATTTATTCCTCAAATGCCATCAATGTTTACTCCTGATGACTTCTTTCCTCAAATCCCAGATAAAGAATTTCTTGAAGGAAAAACATTTTATGGAATTTGTATTCAAAGAAATCCTTTACAATTTATTGGTTTTGGAAATAGAATATTAGAAGTTGAATCAATTGATTTAAGAGATTTAAAAGTATCAAATATTGTATTGATTCGATTTAATAACTTTGATGTATTTCCTGAAACAATTCAAACACCTCCTAAAATGATTATTGGAAAATGTGAAGAAATGATTTTATGTGAATATAATAAAGGAAAATTTCTTAGTAAAACAAATTTTAATGAACGATTTGAATTAGATGAACATACGACAAAGTTATTAATGAATTTATATAATCATTGGTATTATTTTTATCTTTCTCTAGTAAGATATCCATTAAGTCTTGACATATCAATGATGAATCAACACATTCATTCTCAAATTCCAATTAAGAATTTATTGGCATATATAATATCTTATTCCTCTCAAGTAAGCAAACATAAAACAGTTCTTTGTCTAAACTGTTTCTTTGGATATGACCACTTTTATATAAATGATACTATTAAAAATATTGTTCAAGAAAAAAGAGTAGTCTTAGATAAATTATTTGAATGGAAAGTTCCTTTACCACAATGTGGTAATGTGTATATTGTATGTTTAGAGAAAGACCAATATGAAAAGTTTGATATTGGAGACTGGATTTATCTCACTGATACCTTACCTTTTACTGGTAGAGATAGAAGACTTTATCTTAAAGCTACTAAACATTCAACTGTTATAGCTATTAAAGGAAATGAGCAGGTAATTATTGAAAGAATTGGAAGACTAGCAAGACAACTTCCAAAAGATATAATTCTTGAAATGACAAAGAGGGTAGAAGAAAAATATCCAAAAGATGAATGTTTAAAGAAGTACATTAATGTAATTAAAAAACTTATTCATTTAAAGAAAATACGAAGTGCCAGTACCTTGTTAAGGAAAATGAATGAATCAACAGAAAGAACTGAAAATGTATTAAAAGAAAATATCAAAAATAGTAGTGATGAAGAAAAATTTAAAATAGCAAGTAAAGATTTAAATACAATTGACTTTTCTGAAATATCTGAAATCAAGAAAGACTCAGAAGCGACTGTTATAACAGGTATTGTTAATAAGGAAAATAAACAAAAGAAAATAAAACAAAGTCAATGGTTTGATGAATATTCAAATCGTTCAACACAAAGCAGTGGCATTACACTTGCCCCATTAGGAGTTCAGATGGTTTATTGTCAACAGTGTTGTTATACAGTTGAAGAAATAAGAAATTTCACATACAATAAAATTAAAGAAATTGAGGTGATGAGAATTAAATGTATTGTTTGTAAAATATATCCAGAAAATATTGACGATTGTATTGAATATAAATGTGGATGTATTCAAAGAGATCATAGAAAAGAAGACGTTCAATGTCAATACTGCGGGAAAATGATTTATGAAAAATATGAAATGCAATTAGAAATTAAGGACCTCATAACAGCTAGTACTTTACTTATAGAAATTACTCACCCTACTCTTTTATTTATTCAAAATTGGTTTTCATATGACCCATTCCTTTTTATAAAAGAATTTAGAAAATATATTCTTCAAAATCCATTAATTGAAGTATATGTTCATCCATTTTATGATGCAGTCAATGAGAAAGGTCATTTATATCTGTAAATTTATTTTGTTTATATATGTCAGTTATTTTTATAATTTCCATAAACACATAAGTAATATTTTAGCCTAAACGAAATAATAAGCAATTAATTAAGTATTAAT